TAAAAATTGTATGACCATGTTTAATAAATATTCTTAAATATACAGGATGGTCCATAAACGAGGGGCTGATCATACTTATACATTTTAAAGCAAAACAGCCTGCAATACATAATTGATTGTTTTCAAATCGTCAAACAATTTTAAGAGACTTCATTTATTTGCTATGTTGGAATACTCTATATGTTATACCATCAATTAATTAATACAGGGTATTACATTTAAAAAATTGAGAAAATCGTAACCTTACGTTTTGACACACCCTATATACAACATAGCAAATGAATGAAGTCGATTAAAATTGTTTAACGATTTGAAAACAATTAAATATGTACAACCACCTACAAGGGTGTTTTGCTTTAAAAAAAGTATAGATTTGGTCAGTACCTCGCTTATGAACCACCCTGAATAATCGTTAAATATGGTCATACAACTTTTATACTAAACATTTCTTCGTATTTCCAATAATAAAACAGCTATCGATCAATTACGTATTGATGAGGCACCCTTGTATATGTGTTACTGGCTAACATGTTGGTATCGTTGGTTAAGTAAATTTATAAGGAATTTTATGTTAAGATAATATACAGGGCGATGCATTTGAAAAAATTGAGTAAATTAAAACAATTTTGAAATCAATGTCAACCTACCTAAAGTTATAATTTAATTTGGGATCTGCACCATTCTCTAATTAGAAAAAAAATTTATTTGCATACAAAATTATTCTAAAAGTAAAATTTAGAGCGTTCTATTTAAAAAACATACATTTTTATTTTCCTGGTAAAAAATTCAAAAATATGTTTAAAATATGCATTTTTCAAGTCCATATAACTTTTATTTGAAACTTGTTTGTGTGTCTATAACAAAAATTGAAACAATGAACAATTACGCACTAATGGGAAGCCAAATAGAAAATAATTCTGGACAAAAACTTAAATGAAACAATTAAAACATTTTCTCAACCGAAAAATATTTGATATTCGTAAAAGAAAATAAAGATTGTTTCTGCCTCTTCCAATACGAAAAGTAAACCTCTCTAGTTTAATAAAACGTCCATGAATTTCAATGGGAGGTTTTTAAATTAAAGTTTTATGATGACCTCAAAAAAACGTTAAAGTTTTTTACCCAGATCTTCCCTCGATATACCGGGTGTTCAAATTAAAGTGTTACAGTTAAATACCGCCGAAAATATGCATTTTAGAAAAAAAAGTTTCAGACAAAAGTTTTATAGTTTTTTGGGGGAAACATTTTGGCTAAATTCATTTTTTTATAGCTGACTATAATATGGCCATATCGAGGTGAACTTTGTTTTTTTAAATGGGAATCCCATTTTTTTCTTACGTATTCTTAAAGTACATAAAAAAATAAGAAACTTTTGACGGAAATATTTTTTTATTGGACTTTTACTTTTTGAGTAACAGCTACTTGAAAATGTTGCTGCGCGAAAAAAAAGTTGGCCATATTATGGTTAGCTATAAAAAACGATTTTAACCAAAAGTTTTTCCCTACAAAACTATAAAACTTTCGTCTGAAACGTTTTTCTTTTATAAAAAGCGGTATATAGCTGTAACGCTTTAATTTAGAACACCCGGTAGAAATTGTAAAAACAGGGAACTCCAAAAAAATATTTCATAGTTACAAATAAATAAATTAAATAAGCACTTACATTGTAACAATTAAAATTAAAACAACCGAAACAAAAAACTCTTTTTCACCTTCCCTCTCTCCATCGATCTTCCTCTTGATCCCACCCGAACTCTCACTTCCGAGTTCGCTCTGGGTTCTTCATCATGTTCACCGTTATTGAACGATAATGGACTGCTTTTAAAATGGTCCAGTTACACAAAAGGATGCTTTATATTATTTCCATTCAAGGGCGATCTTTTTACTTTCCTATCTGTATACAGATATAAGGAAAGTATAGGAATCAGGATTTTTTTCGACCTCTAGTTTTCCACGGATTTTTACGTTTTGAGGTCCCCTGAATCCGTTTTGACTATTTTCGCGATGTGTGTGTGTGTCGCATAACTCATGAACCGATACACAGAAAAACACCAAATTTCAAACTTAAGCTTTGTTCCAGCGTCCAATGTGCTGATTAGATTTTGGGCAATGTCGGAACATCTGGGGGGGTACTTTATGGGCGGTCATTTTTATATTTTATGGAATATATCTGTTATTTACGTTTGGGGAAGAAAATTCTTCAAATAAAAGTTACTTCTTATATTATTATCTAAAATTTTTGTCCTATACAAAATTTTCCTAAAATGGTCCGTATTCGAGAAATTTGACAAAATGTAAAAAAATATTTTTTTATAAAAATTTTTCAAACAAAAGCTGTTTGTAATATAATTCTCTACAATTTTTATCCTTTACATAATTTCTCTAAAATGGACCGTATTCGAGATATTTTAGAAAATGTGTAAATTTCGAAATTTGAAGAAAACTCAAAAACGGATAAAGAAAAAAACATTAAATTTTAAACTTAAGTTTTATTTCGGCCTGACGTGAAATTATTAGATTTTGGACAAAGTCGGAACATCTGGGGGGTACTTTATGGGGGGCCGTTTTTATATTTTATGAAATATATGTTATTTATGTTTGGAGAAAAAAATTGTTCAAATAAAAGTTACTTCTAATATTATTATCTATAATTTTTGTTTTTTGTCAAAATTTCCTGAAATGGTCCGTATTCGAGAAATTTGACAAAATGTGCAAAATTCTGATTTTTATGAAAATTGTTGAACTAAAAGTTGTTTGCGATATCGATCTCTATAATTTTTGATTATACATGATTTTTCTAAAATGGACCGTAATGGAAAAATTTTAGGAAACGTGCTAAATTTAATTTTTTCAGTATTTTCGTTTTCAATGAATATCTATAGAAAAATGTTTCGAGGTAGATGTATGTGGAAAATGTATATATTTAGTTTATCCTCTAAACATTTGTAGATGTGCTGCAATAGGTTGTACAAAATAACCGGAAAAAGCCTATAATAACTAGATAGGAAAGTCATGTGTTGGACACATCAGATTTTTTGATTAAAGATTCCTTTTAAATACAATTTTGAATTTTTAAAAACTAATTTAGCATCTGTTATCTTTGACTTCTAACATACTCAGATACCAAGTCGAAATCTGTCGTCTATTAACAATAGTTTTTTTTAAACTGCTCACCCTGTATATAATTGACCGGAATGAAACCTTATTGTCTTAAATACAAAATTAGCCGTTTTTAAGCTATCTCGCCAAGAAACAGACGACAACAGAGACAAACTTTAAATCTGGCTCTGAAGATGGCTTGATGCTGAAAGCGCTTTGCTTGTGCTTTTGCTATTATGCCCAAATACAAGTTTTCTTTGCTGATCAATATGTTCTACGGAATACATTTTTTATTCCCTCTGACATCTAATCAGTTTTCAAACAAACCATTTTTCATTAGGATTTCATTTGATGGTAAATGATCATAAGCCACCTAAAACTGATTTTAAAATATAACAGAAAGACCAAGAGATGATAATAATTTTTATTTTCGCTTACAAGTTTACGTGTACTAAGACACAGCGTTAAATTGTATACGAGTTCTGTACAATTAGTTGCATACATTTTGAATATTTAAAACGTATTCATGAATACATTTGAAATTAAGTTAAATAAATCTATTATTATATATGTATTTTACTTCATAATTAAAGTTTTGTGAAAAAATTCCGTATCTATCTGTGATCTCCGAGTGCGACCAAAGTCGCTCGATCTAACACTCGATCACCTAAATTGCGGGCTCCACAACTTTCCGCCCGTCAGCAACGTCAATGCAATGGTCTATGCGTAATGAAAAATATATATCGTCGGCCTGCCAGATTATGATTGGAACAACCGAAACAAAATGAGCCGTATGAAAGTTATAAATAGACGTGGAATAAAATATTTTGTTTATTAAAAATAGTATGGATAAATAACGTAATACATTTTCATTTTATATTTTTATAAATTGGTTTCTTCTTGTACTGGGGGGCTGTAGCTCTGCAACCCCTACATACAAGCCGCCCTTGGTTCTAGGAATCTAATAAAGAAAAGGCATCACTCTGAAAGCTAAATGGTTTTCTGCCATCAGATTTTTTGCCGCAGGATCATACACAGGCGCGTAACTACAGGGTGGTCTAGGAGGACCGGGACCCCTCCAGACGTCGCTGTTTTAAACTGAATTTTATTGTCTAAAAAAAGGGGGGTTACGAACCTTTCTTGAAACATACATAAATTAAAACAATTTTTAACACCACTAACTTCTCTTTATTGATCACTGTATACTAAAATCTTAAATAGTTTTAGATTACGAGCACAAAATCACTAAAATTTCTACTTAAATTTTTTTTAAATCCATTTTTTATATAAAGAAGTTAGCTTAAATCGACTTATTTTCGACCCCAGAAACTGTGGTTACAATTTACTGTACATCTTTTTGTTACCCAATGTATATTATTTACAGTTTTTGTTTGGTAAGTTCATAGATCTATTAAAAATTATGTTGTAATTATTTTTTTAAATATTAGAACGGTTTAATCAAAAAAATTTGATGGTTATGGTTTTTAGTGACTATTTATTTTACTTTTTTTTTAAGATTCCAAGATGGCTAGTTACGCTTCTGATCATACATACGTAAACTTCAAAAAGAAATATTTTATATATTCTGTGTCGTTTAATAATCGAATCAATTGTCGAATTTCATTGAACAGAATTGCTATTATCGAGTTTGACATCAAATTCGAGTAGAATCGTGAACCGGAATCCCACCCCTGATCGTAGAAAAATGTTTTTTAAATGTACTAACTAATGATATTTTGACCAGTTTTTACTTATAATAACTAATGTTCTTTCACCCAGTATATTCGCCAGTGAGAACTACCTTGTACCGATAATGGTAAAATTGCGGAGATATGTTTGGCTGCCCTCACTTTTATAATTCGGTGTTTAAATAGACAGTCGTTACTACACCGTGCTCCTTATTAAGTCATAGTCAAAGTATCATTACTATTTATTACAAAACGAACGTGTTTGTGCGGTAAAAGTTAAATTATTATTGCTTAAATTTTTCGTACCGCGAACAGAATTGATACATTTTTATTTAAACAAAGTTTGTACCTGCGTACATGCATGTTGATAGTGAGGGAAGAATATTTACATTTCGAGTGACATGAAAAACAAGTGTTACTACTATGGATTAAAATATGTCAATACTTGGAAATCCTGGTACGTTAAACATTTTATAAAATTATTTAAAGTTGGCACCAGTGTCAATTCTTCAACATTTTGTTCAAGTTTTTCAAAATAATGTTAAAAATTATCAGAGAAGACAATTGATCAGGGTAAAGTTTAACGCGACAAATAATTTGTTATTCAACTGTTCCACTGGATGTTGGACGGTTTGCAATAAACGTTGAAGAACAAATGAAGAGTGGAAGTAACAAATTTATATTTTGAGATAATTAAGAAAAAATAAAACAATATAATACATTATTTATTCTTTATTTGTTCAAAATTTTGCTTAAGAGCCACAAGGAAAATCAGTTTATAACAAAAAACCAGTTAAGTATATAACAAGTGTCTTATTTACTTCTTCCAGCATCATTTTGTGCCACTTTTTTTAATCCTAGTAGGTTATTGTAAAATGTTTTGTGCCATGGATTTGTTAGATAAGGTATCATAGAAATGAAACTTTTTTTGTTTTCAGAAATGTTGTTTTCTCGCGAAGTACATGTAGTTCGACTTTTCTTAAGTCATTCAACAAAGTTTAAAATGTTTTCCTTGTTTTTGATTATACTTAACCTATTTTAAAACTAGGATCCGGCTGATAGGCCGGATTTAGTGGTATCGCCGGAATTCCAAATTTTCAGACTCCCAGCACCTCTCAGTATTTTTGAATTCAATTATATATAAAATTCCGGTGTGCATTTGTTCGTAATTCTTCTCCTCCTAAACGACTTGACCGATTTTGATGAAATTTTTTGGTAGCCAGGGTCTGTAGCAGGACCAACGTCTATCAATCGTGTCCACTAGTTAAATTATAAAATTCTATAAGAGGTGTTTATTATTGTCAAAAATACAAAAAAAATATAGACCAACTAAGCACTTTTTATGTCAGATTTTTATTATTAGCGCCTAGAATTTACCTTTAATAACTCATAATGAGGTAAGCCAATTTGCAATATTTGTTTTGTAATAATGTTAGTTATTGAACCTTGGAGTTTTATCGTCAAAGCGATCTTTGATGCAGCAAATTACCATAAAATACAGGCTAATTAGTTCTTTTATTTTCAGTAAATTCTACAAGGTTATCGGTAAATTGAAAAAAATTTGTTAACCAAATGTGACAATACCTCGTTTGTAGGTATTTTAAACTTTTAAATAGTTAATAATATTGAAACATCGTTGAAAAGGTTACTTATGCTGCAAATAGATTCAAAAAACTTGTAAAAATTGGCAAAGTGCGAGTCGGACTCGCGCATGAAGGGTTCCGTACCATTGTACAAGATTTAATACTATGTAGGTACTTTTTAAATATTTTATTAGGATCGCACAAAAAAGCCAAAAAATAACACGTTTCTAGTAGGAGAGTCCCCTTTAATTTTTAATATATTTTAATTTTATCTGTTGTTATAGCGGCAACAGAAATACACATTCTGTGAAAATTTCAACTGTCTACCTATTACGGATCATGAGATACAGCCGCTGACAGGCAGGCGAGGCGCTTGCACAGAGGCGTATTCAGATTAACGATTAAAAATATGTATGTTTTTATTACAAAATTATTTTTTTGAGAAAGATTTTGTAAATGATGCGAAACAAAATGCGTAAGAGCATTGTAGAAAGGGTAACGACTTAACTAGTAAAAGTTGGAATACCATCAGACAAAAAAACAACCTATTAGTAAAATCAAAAAATAAAAAAATAACAATATAGGACGAAAAAGGAAAAAATACATTTTCCTCCGTTTTTGTTCTCCAAGCGTAAATAAACGATATCTGCCATAAAGTAGAAAAACGACCCCCTGTAAAGTACCTCAGATATTCCGACTATGCCCAAAATCTAATCAGATCACCGCAGGATCCATTCTTAAAGCTTAAGTTTTTCTCAGTATCCGTTCATGGGTTATCGAGTATACACATATATTTTGTGAAAAAAGTACGATTTCTTTTCAATTTAAATGATGGCAGACTATCAAGTGAAACAAACTTTTTCCCCGTATTTCTGCATCAAATATTCAGTTAATGGTATGAACAAAATATATTGAGTTCGTTAGACATTTATGATTTTTCTATAATAAATTATCATAAAATAAAATTGGCTGCAGAGATCCCTGTGAAAACAAGATTGTATTCAATTGCCAAAAACCAACATAGAGAAAATAAGTAGGTAAAAGAACCTACTGAATAAAGACTGCAAATTAACTGTGTAACATGTTGCATGTGATATACTAATTATTTTTTAATATTTTGTAACATCTTGAACATATTATTTTGTATTGTATTTTTAAATAAAAATGTTATTGCTATTTACACATAAATGATATTTCTATCCTTAACGTTAAAAAAATTAGATTTGAAACATTTATTTTAGATGTATATCAAAATTTGCAAATTAATTTAATAAATTAAGTCTGACCTGACCATAATGTAACAGTGCTGCTACTAATGAGGTTGAATAATATGGATATGACATTCCAAAAAAAGCGACATCCCTTCGCCCACCCTCAAATGTTATAGTTGTCAAAGAGCTGTTAAAGTTTTTAAAATTTAAATATTTAAGCGTTAATTCTGCCCTAGTCAGTCTTTTTTATTTACTATTTTGCAAAAAAATCATGACCAAGTGTACTAAACCCATAGACTAGGTAATAAAGAGAGGACGCGTAACAAATATATCGAGCATACATAGTATTCTGTACCGATTATTTATTGGCCGCCATTATTTTGGTGCTAAGGATTTTGGTGACATAAAGAGAAAAACAAGACAAATCAAAGTTCTTAAACAAAAACTTAAAAGATATAAATAAAGAGTTGTTTCGCTGAAACTTTTTGTTATTACACCAAATTAGTACTATTTAAGGGTCAGTAATAAATGTATCTTCATTTATGTATAATTTTTCTTACTAGCTTAATTTAATAATACCCAGATAGCACACTACATCTTAAGGTAGTTCACTCGTAAAACGGGTTTTCTTAAGAATTCAATAAAATTGAAATATAAGGTTAATGAAAGTGTCGTTTACGTAACTAAAAAAATAAATAAATTTTTTGACCGTCTGTGAAACGAGATATTAATAATCAAAATGTGCATAATTAACACTCTTGAAGCCTGTCATGTACACAAGCAATGCATTTTTTTCAAAATATCTCGAAAACGGTTCTTACCATATTTTTTAAAAACTAATGTTAAGTAAATCAAGAAGTTATAAAATTTTATAAAACCTCGGTGAATTTTTTGACCGTCTTAGTAAAAAGATATAGATTTTTAAAATAAAAATATTTTTAAAGCAGTTGACGAGTAGTTTCGTAAAATTATTACAACTTGGCAACATTGTTATCACTTAACGTAACAATGGAACCCTCGATCAACTAAGAGATTGTTATAAACTCGCGACGTGTTCTTGAAAAATTAATTCGTCCACTGTGTTTGAGAACTGGAATCAGCGGTTCTGTTTGAACCAAAACAAACCCTTAAAATTAGTATGAGGAAGTCACAAATTTCTATACAATATACCGTTCATATATTTGCGAGGTTGCAGGATGAATTTTGTTAAAATTATAACTTGTCCATATGTGTTTATATACATGTGTTTTGTACAGTCTCTTACAAAAATAAAATTGATTAGCATTGAGAATCTCGAACTTTTGGTATTCACCATTATGCGATATTTTTATGTACGACTGTCGAGAGTGAACTACGTCTAGACGTCTAGTTCATGTCTTACTTTCGTCCAAACGTCCTGGTACGTAAAACGGACGGTTTTAAGACGCCCTACTCAGGACATGTTTAAAACGTTTTTGTTGGGATGTTTTTAGGACGTTTTAAATATGTCGGCAATGTGGACGTTCAACTCTTTTCCCTATATTTAAATATGGCGCCACGACACCGTTCTTGGCGCTGCGCGCGCGTATCGAGTCGTGTTCTTCCTCTAGCTGCCTTCTTCTCGGGACAGCCATTGTTTAATATTTTTAGCGTCAGTCTGTGGACATTGTCATTACTTCTTCGTAAGTGTGTGTTTTTTTATATTATTTATTTGCCATTATTGGAACTGTGGTATACCAGAACTAGTAAACTTTATCATTAAAAATGGTAAGTTTTAATTTATTTGCCTTTTAATTTCATAACCTCACTTTAATAATGTCTTATTTTTTAGAAAAACCTTAAAACAATAATTCACCAAAATTATATGCTACGGGGACATTAGTTACAGACGTTTTGGCTAAAATTAATACCATAAAAGAAATTTTAAATCGACCAAACGGGAAAAAGTAGGATTTCCGGGAATAGTTTCTAATAGCAACAAATACTTGAAGTCATTTTCTAATTATTATATAATTCACTCTAAAATAATATTTACTCTGTGTCAGTTTTAATAGTTTAATAATGTATAATAAACTATTAAATATAGTAGACCAGTATTCATTTATATTTTTAAACGAATTTCTATCAACTAAATAAACGACATAAACACGTCCAATACGGTTTGTCTTCAAGACGTACAAAACTGGATGTCTTAAAGATGTACAAAATTGGATGTCCTAAAGACGTGTTGTTTTGTAATAAAGTACGTTCTATAGACGCCTTTAAAACATCTTTTGGATATTAGCGTAGATCTTCAAAACGTCACAAACGTCGTGAACAAACGTATTAAAGATGTCTTTAAAACGTGTGTGCTATCTGAGTAGTGTCATTCTTTATTAATTAAAAATAAATCTTTTTTGTAATACATGTAGATCACTATGTTTTATCTTGCGGAATTAAAAAAAAAATATTTTATTATGCAAACGATTTCATTCAGTTTATTTCAATATATTTTTTTGTGTCTTATTTATTGTTACTTATTTATTTCCAACATGTTACGCCTCTGGTCGGATATCGTTGGTGTCAGAATGGATCAAGATTTTCAGCGGCGTTATGAGTCCTCTCTTTATTTCCTAGTCCAATACTAAACCTAATTATACAACATAAAATGAAGAAACAGGCGAAAAAAACTGATTTAAGTTTTCACAAGTATAAGGACTGTAGTTAGTATTTTTCATAATTCTTAACTTCTTGTATAACGTTAAAATTTTATTACGATTTCCAAAAGACATGATATCTTAAAATTTTATCTGAGTTCGTGGAAAAATACCATTTGAGGCCTAGACCAAACATTAATTTTTAGGACGAATTTTTAGATGAACGTGAGTTAAGGATCAGATTAAAGAAGAATGTTGTTCCGACATTAAATTACTGTTTAGTTAGTAGTGTAAATTGTATTTACAATAAAATTTAAATAACTAACTATATAAAAAAATCTTAAATAAATTCGTAATAAAAGGTAGATAACTAACTATAATGAAATTTAAACATATAAATTTAACTTTATATTAAAATTAAATGATTAGTGTTGTATTTACATTTCTGGTTGTTCTTTATTTGAATAAAGAAACTCATTTGCTAACAATTTTAAAAATAACGTTACAGAATAGACCCCTATATCTGTTAAACTTTGACACATAAATCAGATATTTTAGAGATACCTAAACGTATAAAAGGAACCACTTTTTTAAAATAATGTTATGCAATTTTCTAATGGTTAAAAAAAGAAATTTGATAATGAAATATGATTTTTTTATTTTTGAAATTACATTTTGTTTATATTTTTTAGAGAATACCATCATGAAAGGACAATTTTCATGTCGACTTCTGAAATCATGCCTCGTTGTAACAATAGTAACAACTGCGATGTTGATTTTTCTGGAAATGATTGCAGTACATAATGTATCTTTAATGGACTATACTATCATCCCTATAAAATCTGAAAACAATTACCAAAATACGAGTGTGATAGAATGGAGGGAACTGTGGAAGAATAAGGTATATTAAAATTCCAATTTTTATTTCTCCTTAGTAAGTAACAAGTAACATTTTACTCCCTCTTTTCAAATAATAAATTAAACCATTACTTGGATGCTGTAGAAAAACTGTCCTGAAACTAGACGATTACGAATTTTTATTTTATTTTTCTAGAAAAATATTTCCAAACTGGGACGAATATTATTTCTTGGAGAGGAACCAGCAGTAGTCAAGCGAAAAAAGAAATATCAAATTTTAGTTTGGAAATATGGACCTAAACTAGAAAAAAGGCTAATAAAACAATATACCAATAAAAGGTAATTTGGTGTTAAAAATAAAATCAATAAGGATTAGTTATTTGTTTAACTAGAGAGGAATGTAGTTTCTAACTTCGTTACTAGATGTAATGTTTATGACCAATGATATACAGATAAACGAGTAAAAATTTGAACTAACGATCATAAATTTTATACTCTGGAAAAACTGTGGTTATCTTCAATACTTGAGGTACAGAACCATTGCCTCCTGAAAAAGATATTTACCACCGTATGCCTTGGTAAATTTAATTTTTCAATTATCTCGTTAATTTCATGGGGTGTTGTGATTTATAATTTAAATAGTTCTGTTAAATGACTTTATTGGTGGAATCAAATTTCAAATTAGTTTAAGAACAAACCGAACAGCTGGAACATTTCTAATTCCTTCTGAGCCTTTATTTTTAGTCCGATTTTTGTGAAATTTTCAGGAAATTACAATAATAACAAAACTTGGGGTGGAGAAATTTTGATTTTTTTTTGTAATTCTTCAGAATTTATTTTGATATTTTTTAAAAGGAATTAAAAAACAACATTTCTGCGCCATTTTTTATTAAATCTATGAAAATTTGCTGCTTTTTGTTTTAATAAATATTTAGTACTTTTTAAATGAGAGGGTTTCCCACCTTGTTTTCTTATATGTCTCTGTAAACTGCTGCCTTATTGTTGCACAAATTTAAAGCTGTCAATATTCGCGAAACACATAAGATCACGAAGTATTCCCAGTGGCGCGCTTATAAATAAAATTTTATATTAGAAAATCCTAACATGTTTGCTTTTCGCGAGATGTCCGGTTTGCTCCTAAGATATTTTCTGATCTAATTCTGGACCAATTTTAGTGAAGAAAATGTTTAATTTGTTTGTAATACAGTAGTTTTATTTTCGGTGACTATTTAAGATATTATGTTTATAGCTTCTTTGTTCAAAATTAATTGTTCCTAGTATCTGAAGTATCCATCAACAATGTGGTCACCTTAAGGTGGATCATAGGTCACGCCACATCGAAAGGTAACCGTCCTGCTGATTCACTAGCCAAGAAGGCAGCCAACCAAATACTTTTTAGAGAAAAACCTAATTAAATAACATTCCTTTGTGAAATTCAAGAGCTGCAGAGTTGCCAGAGAGCTTTTAAGTTATCCTGACAACACTACACCAAACAAATCTTGACTATGATTAGACATAACCTGTGCCTGACCACTGGTCATTGCCAAGTGCGGAAGAATCTCTATAGCATGGGGCTGTTAGAATCCGCACTTTGCAGGAGGTGTGAACAAGAAGATGAGACCATCGAGCATACCTTCTACGATTGTCCGACGCTCTCATTTGTTAGAAGATTTGTGTTCGGCGAGAATTGATAAACAACGGCCGAAATAAACGAAGCACCTCTTGGCGACGTTGTCAACTACATCAAATCTGTAGGATGGATTACGAACTAGGAGGTGCCTATCAACTTAGGAGAATGCACGATGGGCCTAGTAAGGCCTTAAAGTGCCTCCACATGTTACAGAACACAGCCACAGATAACATAACCTTACATTTTCCAAATGTTCTTCGTCTAGTTTGACGATTGGACACCTGCATAGTCGTGAACTCATAAATGATCGATTTTTCTATTAAAAATCATATACAAATACCTATTTAGTTTAAAAAATGAATTATTTTGTTTTAATGTTCCAGGATAGATCCGTTTCAAGAATGTTCCGTTAGCAATTGTGATATAACTTATAAAGATGCTGCCATAAAGACAGCTGATATTGTGATAATCCATTTACATCGAACTAGAAGTCTAGCAGAACTACCACCGAAGCGAGGAAGAAAAGATCAAATTTGGACGTTTTTAACGGACGAAAGTCCGTATCACACGTTTATGGGGTTGTGTATATATCCATTTTCATTTATGCCCATAAGTATGGAATAATACGAAAGTATATTTTAAAAATGTATGCCATATCGGCCGTTTTGCTGATAATGAATTATGCCCGAAATAAATAAAATATCTAATTTTCAGCCTAATTCACAAAGCATCTTTAAATTTACCCACATGTAAATCCTTGAAGATATTATAAATGTCATTAGAATGAATGTCAAATAGAGTTGGGAGATATTTCACAAACTGTTATTTAATTATTTTAATCTTGGTAAACTGACAATTTTTACGTTTTTCAATCGATTTCTTAAATGTTATTTCCAACAATATTAACAAATATTTAATTTGTTAATGATTTAAGGAAACATAACCTCATTTATTTTTATTTTACTAATCACAGTAACGATTCAAAAATCAAACCATGCATCGTACAACTCTACCATTTCTCTGAATTGACGTTTCTATCTTTAAGGATTTACACGTAGGCAACTATTTAAAAATGCTTTAAGAATACGGTTGTTTGAACATTTTTAGTCAATGTTCTTGGGACTTATGTTTCCAGTCAATTATATATTCCTTCTATATCTACGGTTTAGTCCAACGCATCCATTTCTATTACTTTTTGAGACACTGTTAAATATTTTCTCTCAATTTAAACCAATATTATTTTTAAGAGTGAACCTAGATAAGGGTCCGATTACAATTAGCTACGTCATCATTTGGCAAAGTAATTAATTGGTTATCGCCGCCTAATGGGGGTTTAGTAGAGTTTTAATATTATAGGAATATAGGAAATATTGTTTTATATCTAACAACTTACTTAACTTTTGTTTATTGAGAGTTATAGATAATATGCATTCGAAATTCGAAGTAATGGTCATGACGTAGCTGTGTTCTTCTAATTGTAATCGGATCCAACCTATAATACCGAAATGTTTTTTCTATATATATTTCTTTTCAGGAATTCAAAACTATCTAGTAATGGTAAAAAAATAACTATAGCAGATTTCAATGGAATTTTCAATTGGTCTATGTCTTACAGGTAAATAATTCAATGTTTACTAAAATATTAATAATCATCATTTGGGGGCCACTAACTGCCGGATTAAATATTTAAATTCCGGACGCAAAAAAAATAAAATACTTGGGGATCATAGTTGATCGAAATATGAGCTGTGATCTAGAAATTAAAAAAACATTTATGCAAATATGCATATGTTAAAATTTTAATAAAATCCATCCGGCAACCTCGCAAATATATGAACGGTGTGCTATTTCAAACAGAACTGCTGATTCCAGTTCTCAAATACAGTGAACGAATTAATTTTTCAAGAACACGTCGCGAGGTTATAACAACCTCTTAGCTGATCGAGTGTTATTTTGTTACGTGGAGTGATTACAATGTTGCCAAGTTGTAATAATTTTACGCAACTACGCATCTACTGCTTTAAAAATATTTTTATTTTAAAAATCTGTATCTTTTTACTAAGACGGTCAAAAAATTCAGCGATTTTTTAGAAAATTTTATAACTTCTTGATTTACATTACATTAGTTTTTAAAAAATATGGTAAGAACCCTTTTCGAGATATCTTGAAATAAATGTATTGCTTGTGTACATGACAGGCTTCAACAGTGCTAATTATGCACATTTTAATTGTTAATATCTCGTTTCACAGACGGTCAAAAAATTTAATTTTTTTTATTTACGTAAACGACACTTTCATTAACCTTATATTTCAATTTTATTGAATTCTTAAGAAAGGCCGTTTTACGAGTGAACTACCTTAAATTCCTCAGAGATATTCTAAATTTAAAATATATAAAAACCATATATTTTTCATTAGTAGAGTTTTTATTAGCAATATGGAATCATTGGTTGGGGAGGAGTAAACGATTTTAATTTAAAATATGCCAATATTTTAGAAAAAGAAATATAGTTTCTGTTTGTTGCCCTTTAAGTACAAAGAGCTGCAGATTAATGTATAATGCGCGACAGCTATTTTGTAAAAAAAGCATCTTTGTGTCAATAAAAAAAAAATCGTTCGCTGATTAGCACAAAAATCAACATCAACAAGACATTCTATTTCCTCGTAGAAAAAGAACAGCGAAACATTTATCGCCCAAAGGCCCAGACTATAATCTTTGTTACTAAATAACCAAAAAATATGTGTTCTATACCCACATGGATATTAGCTTATATACACACAGACTGCAAAACGAAAAAATATGCCATTGCGTTCAACTGAACGAATATATTTCATATCCATTCTACCTAGTAAGAACAGTGCAAAAAAAATAAAATCCACCAATCACTGTTCATATTTTGGTCACCGGGCTACGATTATTTTTTTTAAATTTTACATATGACAATTGTCAGTATATTTTATAGTTATCGAGATTAAATATATGTAAAAATGAGTTACTCTTGTGTAGAATCGATAAATAATAGGATTTGTATTTTTATTTCGTCCACATTTACAAATAAATCATAAATTTTAATCAAACTATATGAAACTAATTTAATTAAGAGTATTAAAACTAAAATGGTAAAGGTGGCGATGAAGGTGAGAACATAGCGTTTGGCTTCCATGCGAGAGGCCAGAGTTCAAATCTGGGCTGACTAATTAAATTAGTTCTTTTTTCCATGTTTATTTTATTTTAAAATTAGTAAAAGTTATAAATTATTTTAAAATTAGTTATTTTGTCTTAATAACCTAAAATAATTTTTAAAATTTGTAGATTTTCGTTAGTGGGTCGTAGAAAAAATATACTTTACAACTCAAGTGGATCTTCCACATCCATTCTTGTTGCACACACTACTATTTATACCATTTAAAAGGCAAATAACCATCAGCTTTTTTTAAATTTCACCTTTTTGTTTTAATTTGGTTTTCACTCCTTTTAATAATGCAATGTTGTTGTTAAAATTTATTATAGTACACATTTTACTATAAAATTTTACTTTTTATCCACTTTATTTTACAGTATAGTGAGGAGCACATTACATGTACTTGTGAACTTGGCGTATATACTGTGTTACTATATTCACCTCTGTATTTTATATTAATTTTTCATGAATAAACTTTGTTATTATATCTTTCATTTAATAGTTATAAACAAACAAATCTTTCAATAATATAGATAACTTAAGAATAGAGTTGAAATTATAATTTACGAAACAGCAAATTCATACTTTTGTGAAATAAATGTCAACTTCTTTATTTAAATACAATTCTTTTTCCAATTTTTTGAATCAAAATATACACTATGTCCCAAATTGGTGTTTCATGTATTGCTATCTCGGTTATTATAAGAGCTACAAAATCGGTTAAATGTGCAATGTTTCTCAGAATTCCATTACCATTTTAGAACTGCTATTACATTTTGTCAGTTATTTTTGGTTTTTGACAGTCCCCCGTATCTCAATTATTTGAGAACATACAGTATTTTGGTCTAGACATTCTATGGGCACTTTTTTAAGGTCTTTACAATAAAAAAATAAAATAAAGAATATCTCCTTCCGTTTTCGAGATATTGACTATAACTTTGTTTTTTCTATTGGATTTTTATTGCATTAAATAGAATTGTTAATTCCCTTTTCAAAAAAAACATATTTTTGGCTTACCTACTAGACGAAATTCAGCAAAGCAGCAAAATTAATTAGGAAATTTTTAGATTTGTGTATTTCAGCATTCGTTTGAAAGACAGTACCATGTTGTGATACATTTTTGAAAAGAGAATTAACAATTCTATATAATGCAATAAAAATCCAATATGGCGTCCATAAGAAAAAACAAAGTTATAGTCAATATCTCGAAAACAGAACGAGAAATTCTTTTGTTTTATTTTTTATTGTAAAGTGCCCACAGAATGTCTAGACCAAAATACCATATGTTCTTAAATAATCGAGATACGGAAACCATTTTGGTTTTCCGCGATTTATTCAAAAGCCAAAAATAACTGACAAAATGTAATAGCAGTTCTGAAATGGTAATAGAATCCTGAAAAACATTACCCATTTAACCGATTTTGTAGCTCTTATAATAACCGAGGTAGCAATACATGTAGCATCAATCTGGGACACAGTGTATAACATTTTAACACAATATTTTTTATAACTTTAGATCTTCAGAAGTCAGTTTAACTAAACAATATAATTTTCTTACTAATTATTTTCTTGTGTAAACTTTTTCCTTTGCATACGGTTTAGAATTTTCTAAATGTATGTACAGATTGGTAGGTAGGGATCCCCTAAAATATTTTACTAACAAAACACAGATTCTCGCGTCTCGACGTAGGACTGTATTTCTTCATTATTAATTACTCTCTAGAATTAATTTTTGTTTCTATTCTTATACCTGTCATCTTTAGTTACATATCTTCTTACTGTTATGTTATAGAATCGACTCAGATATTCCAGTTCCGTATGGAAGAACTGTAGTTAAAAAGAACAGGATACATTTTCAGGAAAATCCTAAAAGGAGAGACGTTTTGATTGCTGTTATGGTGTCAAATTGTAAAACAAGAAATAACAGATTCGACTATATAAAGGAACTACAAAAATATATACAAGCAGATATTTATGGAAATTGTGGAACACTAAAGTAAGTATATTTTACGAGACTGCTACAAAAGTTGACGTTTTACCATTATAACGTTGGCCAGGCCGTATAAACTGGCATTGCTATTATTCGTTTCCTGCCCGCTCTAAAGCTAACTATCTGTAGTTTTCACACGCACTTGTGCAAAATGTATTGGGAAGCGTTCAATAGCCGATACTGTATATAGTTATATAGATTGCTTAAAACGGTCATATTGCTCCGCAAGTGCTCGTTAATCAGAATCGATTTAGCAAAAATGTGTTTTAAAATCAATTTTCAGCATTTGAATATAATAAAAAACTAATTACCTACATTTTTACTTCAAGGATGAGCTTATGTTCATTTTAAAACACATGAATGATCAATCTATATAAATAACTACATCATTGACTCTGCCAAATGTCAAATCCAACAGGCCCACATATCAATTAGGCATTCCAACGACCTGTCCAAATTGGTACCAGTGGGTAATGACAGTTTAGATATGGCAACCCTGTTATCATGTTGTCATTAACAGGGTCAATGATACATACATAGTTATATAGATTGCTCAAAGCTGGTCGTTTACGAGCGGCCATATTGTCTGGTAAATATTCATTAATTTGAATCGGTTTAGCAAAAATGTGTTTTAAAACCAATTTTTAGCCTTTAGCTATTTAAAAAAAAATAATTGCTTATATTTTTACTTTAAGGCATAAGCTTATGTTTATTTTGAAAAATATGGATGATCAATCTATGTAACTATCTATTTCATTGATCTTGTCAAATCACCAGGCCTACAGGGTTGCCATAATTTTGCCATATCATAACCCGTCAAAACCCACTGGTAGCCATTCAGTTTGGAATGCCTAATACCTACAGGCAACCATTTCAAAGTTACTTCACAGGTCGCATAAAAGTAATATTATACATATATGCAACCAGTATATCACCAATAACGTAATTAAGTCACTTTTGGCACCAACAAGCAGCTATTTTCGGTAATCCTGAGCATGCGCATTGGGTCTTCTTAACAACCTAGTGTATTAATCGCCTTTAAATATAAAAGTTCGTTACAACATTTTTCGGTAACCGAATTTCTAATAAACTGAAAAAATCAAGCTTCGAATTTCGCACACATTTAAATGTTTAATTTGACAGTGTCAATTTGCTTATATCTTTACAAAAAAATATAAAATAAGGATAGTGCACAACAATGCATGCATAGTCTTGGATAAACGATTATTAATAGAAAGTAGACCATTACTGAGGACAATTAATGTATGATTTTGTCAACGTCAGCCAGATGGATTAATTAAATAAACAGACAAAAAACAGTATTGAATAACTCACGGTTACAACCTCCCCGAAATGCAATTCTATATCTTAAATGGGACTCAACTAGAGCGTATTATACACTTTTAGCAGGTTTAAAATCTATTTATTTTGTTACAGTTCTGACTGCAAAACATCAAGAAGAAAGTTTTTTGTTTAGCAATTCTTTATGGTTCTTAAATTCCTAATTATTGCCCAAAAATTTCATTGTATCAGTACATTCTTTGATTTTCTAAATGTCACAAGATGGTGTCATAAAGAAAACCGGTTTATTGCTGTGTCATAAAATCGTAGTGTCATCAGCAAACAGAGTGAAAGTACTTACAACTTTAAGTTGAGCTAAATAATTAATATAAAGAACCACAAGGAACTCCCCAACTAATATCTAAAACTAGGCACTTCATCTTCGATCCGTAAACTCAAACAGTCGTATGCATAGTCGATCGCGACTCGCCAGAGATTCATTTCGGCGTATCGCCAGCGATTCGCTGGCGATCCGCCGGCGAAAGCCCAAAAAGCTGGCGACTCGCCGGAGATTGTCACCGGAATGTCATTTCACGCAAGTTTTTATTTTCTTTTATATGGATTATCACCGGTATCTCTCGCATTTTATTCATGATTCATTTCTTAAAACTCAAAAAATAATGAACGAATATCAAAATTTTTCTCTATAAAAGAACATGAAAACTTGCGTGAAATGACATTCCGGAGACAATCTCCGGCGAGTCGCCAGCTTTTTGGGATTTCGCCGGCGGATCGCCAGCGAATCGCTGGCGATACGCCGAAATGAATCTTTGGCGAGTCGCTGGCGATCGACTGTGCATACGGCTGAAAGTTTTTGCAAATTAATTTTAGAATAAACAAGTTCAAAATAAAAAAATATCGTAACAAGTAACATGCGGAGAGGCTAGGCGATCCAGTCCTGATAATTGATATAGACAACCAATAACGCATGTGTGTAATTTTCGATGGATTTCCTCCAAATAATGCTCATGCATGCTTGTATTACCTCTAAACGTCACACAGTTGTGCCATTTTTTATTAGGACGGCAGGATTTTGTAGCTTTTTCTTTTATGGTATTTTTGTGACCAGAGTTGGTTCATTTGACATATATGTATATTTTAATATTTTAATGTTGTGTACACTTTAGAATAATAATCCTGTAGTGTAGGTACCTATTTGAATAATTAAAAAAAATATATGTAATTATTAAAATAACCAAAAAAGGTTGACAGCTGTGTGCACGTAGTTTAGATTCAAAAGGAAAGACTTGTATTTCGTGCAAAACTTTTTAATTAATAAATAAATGCAAAGCGCTTTCGGCTTATTTGCCATCATCAGTGCCTATCTACAAAAATTGTGGATGTAAACTTACAATTTAAAAATATAAAATCTGAGTAAGACTTTTAAGTCAAGAGTTAAAATTGTATATATACGGTTGTTTGAACAAATTAACAATTAAAAGATACAAACAAAGTGACAAAAACCCAGTATTGGGAATAGTGAGTGTGGGATAAGCCCCTACAAATCATATCTGATCTCCAGAAGCAAGTTAGCTTGTGTGGAATTAAGGAATTATGCCACCTTCACTATTCGCACAATTAAAACAAGTTAACAAATTAGTTAAAATTTACAAATAGTGACTGTGACTGTGAAAAAAAGTAAAAATGGGAAAAAATTTAAAAATGAAACTTTGAGATAATCGTATATCCTTTTGGTTTCAAATAAATAATGGTATTATAAATAGTTAATTTTCCAATAGCCATACAAATTGGATGGTTTTATAAATTAATAATGCAATTTAGTAATGATCACAGGTCTTCATGAAATAGATTTGTCAGAGTAGAACAAGAAAGTGACCCTTTATAAGGGACGCTATAGGATCCTTAAAATATAAATTTTTGAGGCAGTCTCCTAAAAATTGTATTTAGTATAGATATACAGATAGTAAAATTGTTAAATAAAAAATAGGTCCAAACTGAAATCCATTTGACCCACCTCGTTTTAAATTTTATAAATTAGCATTTACTTGTTTCTAATTTCATAAATCAGCATTTAAAATTCATTTTTATATTTCTCTATTTTCTTTCTTTCAGATGTCCAGGCCACTTCTCAAAAGATTGTCCACTGCTTGACAACTATTTATTTTACTTATCCTTTGAAAACTCAAACTGCGATGGCTATATAACTGAAAAATTATGGTGGAATGCCTTTCACAAACATTCTATACCTATAGTAATGGGTGGAAGTAATAAAAATTACAAACAATTGTTGCCACCTAATTCTTACATAAATGTGGAAGATTTTGCTGGTCCTGCTTCACTTGCGCAATTTATTTTAAGATTAAATGAAACGAATGAATTTCAGAATTATTATAAATGGAAAACAGATTTTGAAGTGCTCAATGAGCATGGTTATTTTCAAAGCAAAGCATATCATTATTGTCGCATTTGTGAAGCTATGAATTACAATGATAAAAATGAAAAAGTTTACTATAATTTACAAGATATGTGGGATTACCACAAAATGTGCCATCCGGCTTGGAACATTCCAAACTGAAATAGAATTACAAAAATGCTCCCAAAATGTTTATTTATCAGTCTTTTTTTCTAGCTCAATACTTTATTTCTGTAACAATATAAGATTTACATGGCATATTAAAGTTTTACCAATTACCAAACTGTTTTTTATCTTTTATTTTTTATCTTGATAAGTAGATTCTTCATCAAATTAGTTTCATTTTCTACGTTTATTCGTTTATTTATGTTATTTATTATACACATATTTATTTGTTTTCTAACATAGCACCAAGACTAATAACAGCAGCAGTCCCTCCCCTCACAAGCTCTAACACAAGCACAAATTGTTAAGAGCCAGTTTCTCAATGTCCAGTCAAAGTGGCTGTTATGTAGCTGACAGCTATATTGTAGCTGGCTGTCAAAGTCCCTGTTATTGATGGAACATGGATGGAAGTGTTTATCGTCACGAATTTAACTGCTAGCTGCATAGTCCAATAGTTTTTATTCTTAGACTGGTTGTTGGCATTTCTGCTAATTTATAAAATGGTTTTTATTGGATAATTTAAATTTACTGCTTTACATATCATGTCTTGTGTTGCTCGTCACAGACCTTCACATAAAAATTGTTCTATTTTGTATCCATTTTTTTTTTTTTTTTTTTTTTTTTTTTTTGGGGCAATTGGTGATTTAGAAAAAAGAGAAAATACCCAATTTCGCGTAATCAGATAGTGCCCTACCTATTATTCACAACAGAAAATGCAACATCGCAGAAAAATATAATATAAAATTTAATAATAAAATTCAGTTCATCGATATCGAAATAATTTAAATAATTTCTTTGACAAAAATCATTCTAGGCATATACAATAAATTGCTATTTGTAAGAAACTGCCACAGTCAGACTAGCTGAGGGCTATCATATAACTGGAGGTCAATAAACGTTTTTACAGGCAGTAGCCGGAGATTGAAAAACCAGCCCTAAGAGCTCCTACATGTAAGGGGGAGAATTATAGGGGAAGTATTATTATTGAGCATATTAAGATGCTTTTAATCCTACTTTTAACTTAACTACTAATTTGACGTATATACATCTTCAAAATTAAAGAATTCAATTAGAAATAAGTCACAAGATGAAATCAAAATCTTAAAAATAGAAAAAGCAAAAATATTCTCAAAAATGATGCTTTTGTGTATACACCACATAGTGTTCTATTGTAATAGGTACCCTTTACTGATTCAATTTTTTATATATTTAAGAAGAGGGTGAAATTAAATGGATGTAAAAACAATCTTGGTACTTAACAAATATATTTACCTATAAAAAAAACTTACCAAAAATTGTTGCTTTTTCGCCGTATCACTCCAGCAAAAGTTAAGATAATTAAACAATGTTAAACAAAACTGCGAATATCACGAATATGAAACACAAATACGTAGTTTTTAAAAAAACAACATTGAAAACACCACAAAATTCAGAATACCTTTCCATTTTCCATTATTATTGGCGATGTCACTGTCATTAATGTCATTAGTCATTCTGTCATTTGTTCTTCTTTTTCCATTGGTATGAACTTCGATCTTGTATTGGGATAGATAGGCCGTACTCGTAGAAGTAGTGATCTAACTATTCTAACTACGCTTTTAGAGTCGATTCCATCGTTGTGTTAAATGGAGATTAAAATGACATTGGGGTCTATTCTGTAACAATTCCTTTATATTTAACGGCCTTTAAAAAAATTTTCTTCTTTACTTCTGTCATTATTTAAACGGATCTTTAAAATACATTAGAGTACTATCTTAAAGAAATCTGTTTAAATAATGACAGAAGTAAATTAATAAATACAAATATACTTTTAAAGGCCGCCAATATTTTTAAAGGCCGTTAAATATAAAGGAATTTTTACAGAATAGACCCCATTGTTAGGACCGATTCCACCGTTGTGTTAAACGGAGATTAAAATGACATTTTTAATGTAAAATGTCATTTTAAACTTCATTTAACACAACGGTGGAATCCACGTGGAATCGGTCCTTAATGTAAAAATGTCATTTTAAACTTCGTTTAACACAACGGTGGAATCGGTCCTAACAATGTCATTTTAATCTCCGTTTAACACAACGGTGGAATCGGCCCTTAGGACCGATTCCACCGTTGTGTTAAACGGAGATTAAAATACGTTGTTAATGTAAAAATGTAATTTTAAACTTCGTTTAACACAACGGTGGAATCGGTCCTTATTTAGATTTTGTTCATTGGGACACATCGATTTCATCGTTAAATACTTATGGTTTAAGGGCCGATTCCACCGTTGTGTTAAACGGAGATTAAAATGACATTGTTCTATGAAACGATACTGACAGGTAAAGATTACTGCGAAATTCTCGAAGCCATCCGATGTTGTCTGAGGTTTACTCCCTCTCTACCTACCAAAAACCTTTCCAACTTCTGCCCCGGCTATACCTATAGTTTGTTGTGCATGCATGCGATTGTGGACCTTATTATCATGTTAAACAGGGCGTCATGATCGAAAATGCCGTCATAGGGTCATAAAATAGCATCTTCTGTTTATTCTATCTCAATCAATGACAATAGTAGAACTAAAATTCCCAGTCTATTTTTCATAGAAGGTCTTTGAAATAAAAAAAAGAAACAGTTCAACAGAAAGAAGAAGAAAAAAGGAGAGGTTATTTTTTTAAACATGGCGGATCACGTCATGGAGTCGGATGATAATAAACAAACGATTTCAAAAAGTGGTAATAAACAATGGGTAAAGTTAAATGTTGGTGGAACATATTTTTTAACAACAAAAACAACTTTGGCAAGGGACCCAAACTCATTTTTGTACAGACTGATCCAAGAAGATAGTGATCTAATTTCAGATAAAGTAAGTTATTCTTGGAATATTTACCACATCCCCTCACATTACTCAAAGGTTTTTTTTTAAAGATTTACAACTGAAATTTTAAAAGAATAATCAACCTTTTTTGGAAATTATTTATTTTATTAAAAATTGCAACCTTTTATACTGACTCTTAGGAGTATTAAAGAAATAATAAGTATTAGAAGCTGCTGTACTTTAGCGACCACCATTTACAATTATTTATAATTAATCATAGACAACTACTATTTTCAAACACCTGAGAAATCAGAAATGTGAAATGTCATACTTCAATGTGGATACAGTATTTTTAAAGCCAGTAAGAATTAAAATTCTTGGGAAAATTTTGATTCTCTTGAACACTGACTGCTGAGTTCTCACTGGCTTTAAAAATACCATTTTTATGTTGACATATTTCATTTCTCATGAAAATCTTGAGAGAAATCACTTTCTCTCGAGTTTAAACATAGTCCCCCTGACCGATTTTCATATTAGGGAGAACTCATTTCTCTCAAAATTTTCACTAGAAATGTCATACGTCAACGTGAAAACAGTATTTTTAAAGTCAGTAAGAATTAAAATTCCTAGGATAATTTTAATTTTTTTCGAAGTAAACCGAAAGAAATGGTCAGTGAGTTCCACTAGCTTTAAAAATACTGGGTACTGTTTCCACGTTGACAAATGACCTTTCTCATGAAAATCTTGAGAGAAGTCACTTTCTCTCGAATTTAAAAATAGCCCCCCAGGTAATGTTGTTGGAAAGGTATGTACTTTCGGGCACACTGTATGCACATGTAAATCCTTCCAATTATTCGATACAACTTTGCCAGATTGTGGTTAATATAACATTAATGAATATTATCGCATAAGACAATTAATAAATAAATTTTAAAAAATGTTTACTGGTTACTGAAAGTATTTCATTCCATAATTCTCTGTCCAATGCTGCCTTGTTATGTCAACCCACATTTCACTCTTCAAATACTTAGTAAGGAAATAGTTAACCTCGTAGTTAACTAGTACCATTGGAAAGCTAATGAATGAAGCAATTTGATTACAGTGTCTGTTAAGTGTAAAAATCATTATTTTGTAACCAAAAGTGCAGTTTAGTCAACATATTTTAATTAAAAACTAGTTTTTGTTTTCTTGTTTTTGTGCCAAGGTAATAAAAAAATTTAATCTGATAAACAGATTAATTAGCATTTTATATTAGTGACTATTGTACCTACTCTGTTAAAATGGAATGTGTAACAGAAACTGGTGATCCTGTTTTGATGTGCGACAGTTGTCAAAGGTCAACACACAGAGAGTGTACCGGATTAAATGCAAGTGAGTTGAAAGTGACATACTCAAAAGGGAAACAATTGCTAAAGTTCTACTGTGAGGATTGTCAGTCTGGAATAAAATTAATACCTAAACTACTTGTAAAAATTTATAAATTAGAGTCAGAAATTAATGCATTAAAAAATATCTAAAATGTTAATATTACTTCTACATACCTATATAGACAATAAGGAGAACACTTTAAAAAAGGTTGAAACAGAATTAAAAACTCTCATTGAAAATGGTGAAACTAATAAAACTATTAAATACATATATTAATGATAAGTTAACTATTATATAAATCATTATGTTTAGATTTGTCACTTCACAAATCTCTCAAATGTCAATTTGTGATCGCAGCTGTTTCTTGTCCAATCATTGGTGCAGATTTCTTGAAATTCCATAGTCTTTTGGTCGATCTGCAACTTAATAATAATAATAAACGTCTTTATTATACCAGCAAAACAACATTTACAAAGTATAAATGGCGTAGTCTAGCCAAATGGCTTCACAAATTAATCTATACAGCAACTCAATTATCTTCATTTGCTCATTCCATGCAGATGATACTGTGTTAATATTTGAAGGTAAAACCTGGGAGGCTGTAAAATTAAAAGTAAAAAATGGGACAAAAATTATAAAAGCCTGGCTGGATTATAATAAGTTGTCTTTGAATGCATCGAAAAGAGTATACATTATCAAGAAAGTAGAAAATACAAAGTATTTGGGTATAAGTAGATTAAAATGGACTTGTCATGTACAATACTTAACAAACAAAATTAGAAGATTTATACATAAATTCTATTTATTTCGGAATATTCTAAACAAATAATATAATATATACCGCTCTGATTAAATCCTTAATTAGATATGGTATAATTGTATGGGGTGGGTTGTATGACAAAGCACTACATCCTCTATAATGAGACAACTGTGAATGTAAGAGCATTATACTTTCACTCAAGCTGTGTGTTCTACTTCAAATTGAAAAATAAAAGTTTTGTAAACCACCCATATGACTAGAATATAAAAAAAAGTATGCTAAACGTACCTTTTTAGAAATATGATGGAAATAAGAGATTCAATTCTGTAATAGGCCCAAAAATATACAACACTTTAACAGAAAACATCAGACAAATTAATAATATAAAAACCTTTTCTTAAGCAGTAAAAAAAAATTATAAGGTCTTAACTTAACTTTATACCCTATTTTTCTTTTGCATATACAGGTGTTTTACACCTAGGTGCACCATTATAATCTTAGATTGTAAATTATTGTATTACTTCAAATAAAACTTCAGTTGTTTACCCATTTCATCTCATCTCAAGGTAACTACTGCGATGTTTACGAAGATAAAATTCAACCTTTTGTATCCAATAGTCTTCGAAGCAGAATTTTTAATATGTATCATGGAATGGCTCACCCTGACGTATGGAGAACGAATTGTCTAGTTCAACAAATGTTTGTTTGGCCAAATATTAAAAAAGATATCGGAACAGGAATGATTTACCACCATTGCTATTCTTTAATGATAGTCAATGTTATTTGGGACCAGATTTACCTGATCTTTTTGCAAAATACTTCCAGTCAGTATATACTGATAAGAATATTGATCCTCAAAGTAAACTGTCACTTAATCACATTTCTATATCTGAGTATGTTATTCCTATATCAACCATATTTGGAGAGATGGCTAGTATTAACATTACCAAGGGACCAGGACCTGATGGTATCCCCCTTCTGTTCTCAGATTTTGTAGTTTTGTTCTCTCACGGCCACTTCATATTATATTTCATATTCCCAGATTTCTGGAAAGTGCTTACACCTATTTTCAAGTCTGGTAACAGAGCAGACATATGCAACTATAGACCCATCTGTAATCTTAGTTCCATTACAAAGTTGTTTGAAAACATAGTAGCTGATTACTTAAGATCTAAATTAAGTTTATCAATAATAGAAGAATAATTTGGGTTTCTTAACAAAAAATCTACAGAACTGAATTTACTTGCTTTTGTTGATTATCTGTCGGACGTCTTGGATGGAAGTGGTGAGGTGCATGCCATATACACAGACTTTTCCAAGGCGTTCGACAGGGTCAATCACAAACTTTTGTTTTTGTTAAATAAACTGGAGACTGCTGGGATCATGGTAACATTATTGCAATGGCTAGCGAGTTATTTATCTGAAAGATTTCAAACTGTTAAATTGAATAATTACAGATCCAAAAACATTCCCAATCCATCAGAAGTCCCCCAATTTGGAACCTTTATTATTTTTATTATTTATAAGTGATATCTCAGAATGTTTCAAGTTTGCCAAATTTTTATGCTTTGCTGATGACCTAAAGTGCTACCTAGTAGTTTCATCTCTTGAGGATTGTCTCAAACTTCAGTGTGATCTGGCTAGGCTTGATGAGTGGTGTGCGAATAATGCTATGGACCTAAACATCGCTAAGTGTCATTTGATAGCCCTTACTATGAATATCAACATGATTGATTATCAATATAATATCAAGGGTACACCAGTGATCCAAGTTGCATCCATTCGAGATCTGGGTGTTATTATGGACACAACGCTCTCATTTGTCCATCACATTGACACAATAGTACCCAGAGCACTTGGAATGCGTGGGTATATAAAGAGAAACACATCAGACTTTACAAGTATTAGTGCTATCAGGTTATTGTACTGTATTCTTGTTAGGTACAAGTATTAATTCTATCAGGTTATTGTACTGTAGTCTTGTTAGGCCTCTGCTAGCATATTGCTCTTCAGTCTGGAACCCCCAGTATACTTGTCACATTTATAGATTAGAACAGGTTCAGAGAAAATTTCTTCACTACTTAGCATTTAAATCAAATATTCCACGGATAGATGACTATTTCTATGAATTTGCGGCACTGCAAGAGACATTCTCCTTACCAACTTTGAGAATAAGAAGAGATCAGGCAGATCTGAAATTATTTTTTAAGCTCAATATATGGTTGATTGCCCTATATTGATTTCAAGCATGTTGTTGGCAGCCCAACTAGAAGCACAAGATCAATAAACAGTTTTCATCAGCCCTACATAAGAACTAATACTGGCCTCAATTCATTCATGCCTAGAGTTTCACGAAGCGCTAATGCTTGTGCTGATGGTCTAGAAATTTTTAATTCAAGCTGGGTGTTATGGTTTTAAAACTTACTGTGACTTAAATTCCCTAGTCTTAATATTAGTTGTTTCGATTTTGTACATGTTAATATATTTATGATTTTTGTAGTTAGTTTATTAGTTTATCATTATTATATCATATTATTTAGATTGACTCTATTTGAGTTTTTTGTTTTAATTTGTACTTTGTACTGGAAGTGGACAAGGCCCGTGAATAAATAAATAAATTATCCGACGGAGAACACAAGATCCTTTACGAAAACACCGACCTACTAACAACATCAAGACATTACTCGACCAGATTGCACATGGAGGCTATATAAAAACACAAACATGAAAAGAACTTCAATAGAAAGGAAGAAAAAAAAACAACATCACCTAGGATCTAGCCACACATCATTGTCATTAAAAATGGCGAAAATAAAATCGCCTAATATTAGGACCGCCAAAAAAGAGCGCGCAGACACTCATATAAATATAACGCTCTGAGCGAAGGAGGATTCAGTTTCAGTTGATACGTCGAGAAGAGTACTTCGTCCACGCCACCGAAGGTGGCTGCCGCAATTGCAGTTGATGCGTTTGGTAGTAATAACCAAGAAAGACCACGGCATAACAGCACGGAAACAATTACATTGACGCCGGCCGTGAAAGCCTACATTCTTACATTAGTTTAAAAATGATAAAGCTGAATTTATACCTGTTTAACAGTTAAACATGGTGCTGCAAAAAATTTGGACTAGAAACTTTTTAAAGCAAATATTTGTGAATCTCCTTCATATGAGAGTGACCCTCCTATATATATTTCAGAAATGTTAAGATAATTTTGTATTTTCTTTTAAATCCCATACAAGACTGATACATTTTGTAGATTACGTTCTTAAGCTTTAGAGTAGGCAAAACTTCTTGTAAAAATATTTTATATCTGGTTGCATTGTATATTATGAATATATCAGATAAGGTAACATCTAAGGTGTGGCAGAAAAGTAATGAGACTGATTTTTTACTTTACAAAGTTTTTATTTCTTTTAAACATCAATGTTATCCCCATCAAAGTAGTTCCCTTGGGCAGCTACACACCGATGGAGACGTTGTTCCTACTGTTCGTAGCAGCGCTGGAAGTCTTCAACCGTTATGGTTTTCAGCATGTCCGTTACAGTCTTTTGGATGATTTCTAAAGTCCCGAAATGACGGCCTTTGAGGACATTTTTCAGTTTAGGAAAAAAGGACGGCTTTATACGAGTATAAAGCCGTCCTTGAAAGGCTCAGAAAAAGGGTAATTCGCGTGAGACCAGACATTGCAGAGAAATGGTTGCTCTATCATGACAAGGCCCCATGTCACACTGCCCTCTCCATAACAGAATTTTTGACCTCAATAGGCATTCCTGTGGTTCTTTATTCCCCTGACCTCAATCCCTGTGACTTCTTCCTTTTTCCTAAACTGAAAAATGTTCTCAAAGGCCGTCATTTCGGGACTTTAGAAATCATCCAAAAGACTAACGGACATGCTGAAAACCATAACGGTTGAAGACTTCCAGCGCTGCTACTAACAATGGGAACAACGTCTCCATCGGTGTGTAGCTGCCCACTACTTTGAAGGGGATAACATTGATGTTTGAAAGAAATAAAAACTTTGTAAAGTAAAAAATCAGTCTCATTACTCTTCTGCATTTGTAATGTAATAGAATCAGAACTTCTTTTTAACTGAAATCCAAGTTCGTGTTTCGTATTATTTTAATGCATTTTTGATAAACATTTTCAATATAAAGGGGATTATTTTTTGTCATTTTATTGTCAACTAATGAAAAGTAATTAAGACATTCAGAAATAACCAAAGTTGAAAAATTAAAGAAACATTAAAAAAAGCATTCCCTAGTAGGTTTCGAACATGCAGTGTCTGACTTACTGGTTAATGAATATTTGTTTTTATTTTAGGATGAAACTGGTGCTTATTTAATAGACCGGGATCCAAATTATTTTTCACCAGTTCTAAATTATCTTAGGCATGGGAAGTTGGTGATTAATAAAGGCTTGGCTGAGGAAGGAGTGCTCGAAGAGGCAGAATTTTATAATATTGCAGAACTAATCACTTTAATTAAAAGGAGGATAGTGCATAGGGAGGGTAAACCTAGTAAAGATGGCAAAAAGCATGTTTATAGAGTTCTACAATGCCATGAGGATGAACTTACTCAGGTAAAAAGAAATGCATTAATTTCAGGGGTGTTTTAATTCCATTACTCAATATACCAATTGCTTGTTCCATGAATAAATAAATAATTTATGATCTGATGTAAACTATTTTTTTTATAGATGGTGTCTACCATGTCAGATGGTTGGAAATTTGAGCAGTTAATAAATATTGGCTCTCAGTACAATTATAATGCGGATGAACATGCCGAATTTTTGTGTGTAGTAAGCAGAGAATGTGGAATACGAGATTGCCCTGAAATTAAAAGTGATAGAGAAGATAGGGCTAAGGTTCTACAACAGAAAGGTTCTAGAATGTAGTTTGTAATGTGTTAGATTGAAGGGAGGTTGTTTTTAACCTAGACGTCTCTAAGACTGTCGTATTTTACAAAATTCATGTATGCAAAATCTAAATATTGGGATTTAACTGCTCCTTGAATACAAATATAAGACAGAAACAAATATTAAAATAGCAATATTTCTAGTTCGCCTAGTTTTTCTGTAAACTTTCACACCACCTCTCTCTAACGTCAATTATATATTTTCAATAATTCCTATTTATTTCAATAATTCCTATTATTTTTTATTTTTGTAAAATATCTTTTTTTTAACCCATTTTAGAGTTTGTACGTTTGCGAAAAATATAAATACAGGATGGTTAATTAAAAATACTGTCAACTGCTCCATATTATTTCCAAAAATATGGCACCTATTAAAAATCAGTATAGAAAATGTTGCAGAAATAAAATTATTAATCTAGTAGAAACCATGACAATGTACTAAAGCCTTTTGTGATATTATAAAAATACTGTCTTCATATTCAGATATTAACACTATATTATTTTCTGTATCGGTGACAAAATATTGTAATTAATTTTCTAGCAACTAGCTCTGAACTATAATAAAATTTTATGTAAAATATGACAGTTTAATATTTTTTTCTTATTTTTTTCCTACTCTGTATCTGTGGAATCCTTCGTTTTACATATAATTTTTTATTGATGTTTTATCTACCTTAAGTGAATATTATCTGTAAATGTATTTTGATATTTTGAAGATATTTCCTTGATAATATTGTATATTGCTTTAGAAGATTTTATCATTTTGCTTTTTTATCATCTGCGCAGTGTAAGACTGGTGTATGTAAAATAATCAAATCTGTTTTCTCGTTTATAAAAATGTAATAAAATTTAAAATCGTATAATGTAAATATTTTTAATTTGACCTACCAGAATTATTCAAATGAAAAGATGTACAAGGGTATCACATACAGGAAACAATCTAGGCGTTGTTCCTTAATAAAATGCGAATATTTAAGGGAATTAATCTACATAAAAAATTAATGATAGTTTGCTTTTTTATAAACCATGGTCCAAAAGTGTTCTGTTGCGAAAATATGGAGTGTTAAAGTTTATAAAAAAATAATATTTTAGAAAACGCTTAAAATATTTCAGTGATTTTTAGTTAATAAAGCGCAACTACGTTTATTGCAAAATTGTATTCTTCAATATTTTCTCGGATTATACAATGTTTTTTTATTTTTATACTCAAAAACGGCGCATCGCAGGAAAATATCTCAAGATAGCTCTTATGTTTCAAATAAAACGGGACAATTAGGAAATAATTTTAATTTGGGAAAAACCATTGGCGTACTATTTTTTTCTTAAAAAAATATAAAAGTCGGTGCCCGTACGATTGTCGCTGTTAAATTTAAAAACTATTTTTGTATTGAAAAATATGCACCTTTATTAACTGTCACTACGTGCTAAATATCTCAAGCGGTTTCGAAAATATTTTCGTAGTGGAATAATTTAGTTTATAAGCAAACTATCATTAATTATTTATGTAGATTTGCACCGTTAAATATTCGCATATCATTAACACTTTAACTGTCATGCTAGTCAAAACGACGTACACGGCCTCTCAATTGAACGCCGTGTGTGCCATATCAACGCACAAGTAGAATCTGGAATTTTCGCCGTGTGCTTGTTAAGCGTGCATAGTTTTCGTAAGTATGTATGGTATATCAGATAGCCTGGGCGTAGGCAGTCTTCATAACAAACGGCTTACAAAATTAAAGTCCTATATTCGATGGGTACCAAAATTTATTTTTACATTTATTATTTATAATTTGACAAAAATAAATTCATTTAGCCCTTTAGTTGCCAATTTTGTGCAATTTATAAAAACATTCATTGCGCATATGAGGTTTTCCGGGACATACAACGCGAATATAACGTACCGCCTTGGCCATTTTCATTGCAAAATTTCGTCCTTGTTCCTCAGAATATCTTGTATAACAGCTCTTGCAGCGGCTTCGGGTAACTTTATTGTATTTTTCTGCAACTTGTAACTTGTGCTGATTGGTAGTTGGGGGTCTATTGAGAGTCATATTACTGCCTGCATTGTTTCAGAATAATGAAGTAGCTGAGAACACAAATTTTCCCTAAACTTTATTATAGACAATTTTTTCCTATTGGTTTTGTTATAAAGAATTAACAACTGTTGTTCCCAATAATGCCTCTACTGCAACTTTTCTGTACCATTTTAGGCCTTTTCTAACAACCGAAGAATACGAAGCCCTTTGATCTGATATATCAATGAGTGATTTAGCTGCGTTATAAGCAATAATAGCAACAGGTTTTTGACACGGTTTTATATCGTCGGCTTCGTCTACAGATTTTTGACGCTGATTTATATCTGCTGACTTGCGACGCTATGCTTCGTACTAAGTATAAGAACGCCGCGTCTATCTTTCTACTTAAATCACATACTTTGATTATGTGACTTAAATACTGTTATGCCATCGTCACTTTCCATGCCAAAAATTTGGCCCCGATTGAGAGGAGCTTTGGTTACAATTTTTGGAATACATTTGCGGTTACTTCGAAGTGTACCAACAAGATGAGTCGACCGGGCTGTTAATTTTTTGCTAATCTTACACTAGTGTACCAATTATCAGTAAATAGGGTCCTGTCAGAATCTAGAAGAATGTCCATGAGCTCCAAAACTACCCTATCTGCGACAGATCCTTTAGCGTCTTCAGGTCCTTCTTTCCCGCAATATATTTTCATATTATGTGTATATTCACCATTTACACATAGCTTGAACATTTTTATGCCAAACTTATGTCGTTTACCCTTGATATACTGACGAAATTTCAATCTAACTCTAAAAGGTACCATAGTTTCGTCGATACATACGGTTTCCGATGGAATAAAAAATTTTTAAAAGAGTAAAACCAAATTTGGTAGATTTTCACACTTTTATTTTAAAAATAAAAATTTAAAAAAAAAACACACTAACATGACATATGTTTCGAAGTACAACTTCTTTTTCAAATGTGACTATTTACAATTCGGTATCCAATATATATACGAAATAATTTAACAAAACAAAGTACTTAAGAAAACATCAATAACATTACAAAATAAACTAACTATTTAAAGTAAATAAGGGTACTTAGGTAATTATAATATCCATCAGATAACAATAAGATAGCCCATTACCGGGATTATCTCACAGAAAACTGGGAAAGAGATTTAATAAGGGTGAATTATTAATATCTAATTGATCATTTAGTAAGTTATCTGAATTTTTAAATCTATTTATTTCAAGTGTTTCTAAATGGTTTAATTTAAGGCTCTTATTTTCTACATGTAAAATTTCAAAGTTGTCTGTAAAAGAATGATTTTCAGCTAAAATATGATTTGAGTAAGTAGAATTATTTTTGTTTTTTGTATAGCTATTATAATGTTCGGAATAGCGTTTTTTGAAAGTACGGCCTGTTTGACCAATATACAATTTTGGACAACTACCACAATTTAATTTATATACCCCCGATTTATTATTAGGATTAATTTTACCCTTATTGTTTTTAATATACTTACCAAGCGTATTATTGGTTTTAAAAGCTACGTTAATATTTTGGTATATTGACTTATTATAATCAAAGAAGAAATCCTAAATTTGTTAAACATTTGCCTAAAACAAAATTATTTTCAATTTCAAAATAACATCTACTCAGCAAATGAAGGTCTTATTATGGGGAACCCATTAAGCCCGTTGCTTGCAGAAATATTTATGGATAATATAGAAAATAAAATTCATAGCAATAATTTAAGTAAACATTGTCTGTATTGGCATAGATATGTTGATGATATATTGACTGCTTTTACTGGTACTAGTAGACAGTTAAATTCTTTATTAGTTTTTATCAATACTATACACCCTAATATTAAATTTACTATGGAAACAGAGAAGGATAATTCAATTAATTTTTTAGACTTAAATATTAAAAATAATAAAGGCCATAGTTTTGGGATATTTCATAAGCCATCACATACGGATATTACAATAAATAATAGTTCATCTCATCCATACAAACAAAAGCTGGCAGCATACAATAGTATGATCCATAGATTAGTTAATATTCCCCTTACCAAAGAGAACTTCACTAAAGAATTAAATATCATTAAACAAATCGCAGTAAATAATAATTTTAATTCAAAGTTAGTAGACAACATTTTAGAGAAAAAACTTTTTAAACAGGCTATTCAACAAGTTTATCCCATAATTAAAGATCCAAATTGCAGATATAAGAGTCTTACATATATAGGAGCTCCTAGTGAAAAGGTATCATCATATTTAAAAAACCAAAATATTAACGTAGCTTTTAAAACCAATAATACGCTTGGTAAGTATATTAAAAACAATAAGGGTAAAATTAATCCTAATAATAAATCGGGGGTATATAAATTAAATTGTGGTAGTTGTCCAAAATTGTATATTGGTCAAACAGGCCGTACTTTCAAAAAACGCTATTCCGAACATTATAATAGCTATACAAATTACAAAAATAATTCTACTTACTCAAATCATATTTTAGCTGAAAATCATTCTTTTACAGACAACTTTGAAATTTTACATGTAGAAAATAAGAGCCTTAAATTAAACCATTTAGAAACACTTGAAATAAATAGATTTAAAAATTCAGATAACTTACTAAATGATCAATTAGATATTAATAATTCACCCTTATTAAATCTCTTTCCCAGTTTTCTGTGAGATAATCCCGGTAATGGGCTATCTTATTGTTATCTGATGGATATTATAATTACCTAAGTACTCTTATTTACTTTAAATAGTTAGTTTATTTTGTAATGTTATTGATGTTTTCTTAAGTACTTTGTTTTGTTAAATTATTTCGTATATATATTGGATACCGAATTGTAAATAGTCACATTTGAAAAAGAAGTTGTACTTCGAAACATATGTCATGTTAGTGTGTTTTTTTAAAAAAAAAATTTTTATTTTTAAAATAAAAGTGTGAAAATCTACCAAATTTGGTTTTACTCTTTCAAAATTAAATGGATTTTCATCAAGTAAAGGCCGAAACAATAAATAATGGAATAAAAAATGTCTGAAACTTGGATACTAAATAGCTGATTAGAACCTGAATTTTATGCAGTTGATCTCCTGGCTGGCACGCCTTGTTATCGGCAAAGTGCCACATACGTAATAAATTTGGATGCAGGACTGTTATACAGGGTGTTTCAGATTTAAACGGACACAGCTTAATGGGAGATAGAGTACGCTTAGCTGAGTTCAAAACACTCCCATACTTAGCCTTTAATCTTACTCGTTTCTGAGATATAGGGTGTTTTATGAATTTTTGCCAAAACTAAACTTGGTCAGTTTGTTTAAACGGCTAGAGATATTTTGATAAAATTTTGTACAAAAGTTACACTCTTTTAGGTTAATAAAAACCATAATTTAATTTTTTTAAAAATTCCAGGACCGGACTCTTTTTTTATATTACTCTTAGCTAGAATATCACCCTGTATATCGGATTTTAATAAATGTTACTGCACATTTAAATAGTACGTGGATTATTAAATAAAATAATGTAAGAATATTTAATGGCACCATCTTGATGTTCTTACAGTAAATTTTTATAATAGCGAC